GGTGGATTCGCCATATAGTTCTTTGTTGTGGGGGCTATCTTGTACATTGTGGGCTATTTAGCAGCATCTCTGTCCTCTTTCCACTAGATGCCAGTAGCAACTCCCTGCCTCTGCCTGGTTGTGACAACCAAAAATACCTCCACGTATTGCCAGAAGTCCTTTGGGAGGCAGAATCGCCCCTGGTTGAGACCCATTGCTTTGAACTAATTTTCATTTATGTCTATAGATTAAGGATTGTGTAAAGTGACAGTTTGTGATAATATAATACATTTTTGGAACTTTAAACAATCTGAAGTTTACATTAAAGTGATTTACATTGACATGTTGACACCTTCTATGATCTTCAGTTTCTTCATCTATAACTAAGACATGTATTAAAAATTTTAATATATTGACAGGACAACAAAGGGGACTCATCCAAGCAGAGTTAGCTTGTGTAGAATAAATGTTTAATATCCAGCAAACAGTGACTCGCATCACAGAATATTTAACATAGGCTAGTACTTGTCAGTTGTTTTAAATATCTCTGTGGTTTTTGGTTGGTAAAGATGCTGCCTTTGCCTCATTGTGCAGTTCAAAGGCAATGAGTTCATGTGTCAGGTGCCATTGCAGAGTCCAGCAATGCACTTCCTAAGTCAGATTATCCCATGGTAATGAGGTTAGCTGTATAAATATGTGCAGTATTCTCGTTCCTGTCAGTGGGTCCTCCTGGAGACAGACTGTGAGCTGGAATTAAAGGTGCAGTAGGTTGATTGAGGGGTAATACCTGAGAAGGATAACAGGCTGGGGAAGACAAGGAGATTGGACAAGGGGACAAGATGCAGATCCGACAAAGTCTTGGCCAACCCCACGCCAGAGCTCTGGGGCAAAGGTTGCCCATCACAGGAGTCCCACGTGGTGATAAAATGGCCAGGTCCTTGTACTCCCACTGTGCCCAGTCATCGGGTGGGGTTGTTTGTAAGATTGTTGACTTGGCTCCAAAGCTGAGACAGATGCTTGAAAGCACTGCAGCTGGAAGCTATCAGTCAGTTGCACTCCTTCCAGACAAATGGCAGAGTTTTCTAGAAGAATGGTCTTAGTGGTGTACCTCCATGGCTGTTTCCTCCCTTACAAAATTATCAGGGAACAACACCGGTTTTGCTGGATTTGAGAATGAGCTGAGCCCGCGTGACTCAGTCACCTTCTCTGGGCTTCAGGGCTGCAGATCAGTGTGGCTCTCAGACAGCGTGTGCGAGGAAGGTACAAATCCATCATCACAGCTGGAAAAAATTCCTGGGAGCTCATAACGTACTGAGTGGAAGTACATTAGTCCATAGGGTACCAGGTGTGAGCAGATACCAACAGGCACTGGCCTGGGAGCCTGGAAAGCTGCATTCAGATCTCTCCTCAGGTAATGCGCGGCCTCTGTGGGCGTGAAACTCGATCTGTCTTCCCTCTTTGCAGTGAGGAGGATGCACCTTACTGACCTTCCAGTGTGGTGATTCAAAATCTGGAAAATCAGAAATGTCTTACTCAGTGGGAAGAAAATGATTATCATTGATATTTATTTGCTTACCACATGCCAAATACCATGCTAAGCTCTTTAATCTGTTATTATCTCGTCTAATTCTCACAGTAATTTTATGAGATAGGCACCTTACTGTTTGTACTTTATAAATGAGAAAATGGGGCTAAGAGATGTTAGGTACTATTCTCAGGTCATACAGCAACAGGTAGAGTAGCCACGACTTACACTTTTGCTTCTGCTCTGGAGCCCACCCCTCAGATTGGTGCCTTCATCATGGAGACCAGTTGGACACCACTTAGCTAGATTACATACACACACTCTCTGTCTCTGCAAGATCCACCCCTGGTATATTTCCCAAAGAATTTCTCACACAAGTCCGTAATGGTTATTGCAGTAATTCTGTGCTGTTGGAGAGTTGGGGACCATTTGGGTGTTCAGTGGGTTCTTTTTCAGCAATTAAAAAGTAATGGAGTGAGGAGGGTAGAGCTCAGTTAGTAGAGTGCATGCTTAACATGCATGAGGTCCTGGATTCAATCCCCAGTAACTCCTCTAAAAATAAACAAACCTAATTACCCCCCCAACCAAAATAGAATAATTAAATAATCCAATAAGAAATAAAATATTAAAAAAGCAATGGATTCAGTGTACACAAAGAGGCATGAATGAGATCTTTAAAACAGGCAAAAATATGGCACAGAAACAGAAAATTTTATTTACATTAAAATACATGCACAGAAAAAGGATACATATTGTATCAATGTATTCAGGTAATATGTGTATATATATATTTCTGGCTGCATATGGGAAGGCAGAGAAGTAGGAGTGAGGTATAGAGATAAAAGGAGATAGATAATCAGTTAATCAGTCAAATACGTCTACACTCTGTATTGGAAATTGTGGTGATAATAGGTCGAATTACCAATGAGCCATTGCTGGTTGATTTAAGAATGAGGACATAACTGGCTCATAGGCAGCTTCTCCAAGATGGTAAGCCAAGGGACCACCCTTAGCCAAATCAAACTGGAACTTGACTGCTGATGATCCCTATATTGTGGATTCCACAAGCATTGTTTTTATTAAAGGTCCAGTGATTGGTTGGTTCTTCTTTCTTATTGACACCTGGGACTTCTTCCATTTGTCTTCTAGTTTTGGGAAACCTTGTGTCCCTGAAGGGGTGGACTTCTTGGTGACTGCACTGATTCTGGGTAGTGTCTCCAGCCCCCAAACCTAGAAGCAGCAAGATGGATGGGGCTTTTTCTTGGCAATGTACTGAGAGTAGGTCTCATTTCCTCAGAGCTTCCTCAGTTCTTTATGAGTGAAAATAGAACATTTTCAACTAATGTTCATATATTCTGTTTATTTTCCTGCCTCGAACATCGATTGG